CTGTGACGTCTGACTGTTTGCTTGCGTGGTTCATTAATGATAACTGTGATCGTCAAAGCTGTGCTCGGTTTCTGGCAAACTGCTTGGTGTCTTCCAGTCGGTTAGTTTCAACAATTTTATGTAAATCAAAGTATTCAGGTTTTCTTGTCAATATTGATTAGTCATTTGTAGTATGTTCTCATGTTATTACTTGGAGCGTAACAACTGAAATTTGCAGAAAGTAAGGAAGATTATTTCCGCAAATGATTCACCTTGAAATGGTCAAAAACTATTGAGTTACTTTGTGCTCAAGTACGAACTTTGACAGGATTTTATTCACCAGGATCTTTAACTATTGTACTATCCATTAGTTTTCACCGATAGGTGTTGCCATGATAAGAAATGCTACCACCATCACCTTATTCCTCAACTGTAGCGAAAGCACTTTATAACAAAAATTTAGTTCAAAGAAATTGGTTGAAGTTCATTATAGCTCCATGTAGAAATGGTGAAAGTATAATTGTTGCTTCAGAATGCGCCGCTTAAATTGCTCACGATTTTGGCTGGCGAAATTGAACACTAATATGAAGTCTAAATTGATAATGAAAGAAACTGCTGGGATCATCTTGCAAATGATCTCGGCAGAAAATCGATCTTTCGAACAGATCAACGAGGACTATCATCTTACTGAAGAGGAAATGTGTGGTTTGATATACATGGATTATTTCTGGAATCCGGAAAGGGAAGAAAGAGTTTGGATGCGCTACGATCGGCTTTTATATGGATGGATTTCCGTCCAGAAATTTTTCATTCGTCCGCTGGAAAGCTATGAAATTAACTTATTACACAAATGTCTGATTTCATATCATCCATTATTACGTCTAGATGCACTTGAATTATCGAACAAACTGATGAATAAGAAACTGGTAAACTCTTAAAAACTTATTAAATGTCATCTTCAAAATGGCTATTTCTTTAGAGATATTAGGTAGTGTTAAGTATTATTAGACAATATACTAGGACTAGGTATTACTACACTATCGTAAGTTAATTTTCCACGCATCTCGATTTTTTTTTTTGTTATGAGGATAGGTGAACAAAAGAATTTAGATGGTTTGACTACGATAGTTGGAATTTCTTCTGACAGATGCATCGGACTGTCAGTTCTTATAGTTGTGCTATTTATGGTATTATGATATGATATGATGTTGTAGGGATGTTATATATTAATTGATTTTCTTTCTGTCGATTTTTTGCCATTGTTATGTACAGTTCACCATAGAAATTCCATTATTCAGTTGCACTGGTCTCATCAATTCGGAACTGTCAAATCCTTCGTGCTGCAAAACTTGGGCATCACTGATGCTAATTTCTGCACTACACTCTTGCAGTTGGTGCGTATGTCGGATGCAAAAACACGTAAGCGTCTGGAAACAGCTTTACTTGAAGAGCTTGATAGTATCTGGAATGATCGAGATCGATCGTGTCAAATTACATTTATTTTGGAACTTCTTAAACAGTGCGGTTTCAATAGATGGTTGTCTGATACACAGTTGTTGGATTCGATTTTTAACAGTGACATTACAGAGATAAGGTCAGTGGATTATCTGCATTTTTGTCATTAATCTTGTTTTTTCTAAACTTATTTGCATTAACAGTCTGGAAATATGTGAACAAAATTAGTATTGCAAAGGTTATGAATTAATAATCTGAATTAAATCTATTCATAATTTTAAGGAATAGGCCATGTAAGTGATTAGTTGTAAAATTGTATTGCTTTTTTCCCTATTTGTTAAAGACGAGAAAAATTGTAAGGTATAAAATTGTAATGCTTTTTTTCCTCTTAACTATTTGTTAAGGACGAGAATTCAGATTATAGCATGTATAGAACTTTAACTGTTATAGAGGATAGTTCAGATTATAAAGTTGTTCAGTTTAGTTTAAATGTGCAATTCAGAGATTGAAATGGATTTAAGTGTATGTGGCAAAGAATTATAAAAAAAAAAATAAGGTAAAATTCACCACTCGTAAGGAATAAAACCATATAATCCAAATCACCCTATCAGTGTGTAATCACTTATATTTAGGTCTTTTAGATCTCCACTACCACTCATCCACTTAGTGTAGCATTCCGAGTTAGCATATTTTTCCTTTACTTTTGCTTTCGATGATAGATTTAAAGAAACTAAAATGAAACTGATATCAAATATGTTATTGATGTTTATGTATCAATAATTGTAGGATAAAACTACTGATGTGTTTATCGATTGCGGAATTTGATTCTCAGTTTTTTCTAACCAATAAATTTGTGGAGATGCTCAGTAATGATAGCATAGATGGTTTGAGTTGCCTTGTAAAAATAATGTTGCGATTTAAAAAGCCGAAGGAAATTCTAGATTTAATAAAGGAATCTAAACGCAAAGATTCAAACAGTAAGTTTATTTCTTGACTGATCCAACAGTAAATTAATCAACTGCTTATGTAAAATGAGCGTAAAAATATGCACGTAAAATATGCGTAATATGCAAATATACGTAAAATATTCACTTAGAAATACAGAGTGAATAATGAATGAAAAAAAAAGGCGTTCTTCCTTGGCAAATTACAAATTGGTTTCAGAATTCTTCACTGAGTTTGGTGCTATGTAATTAATATTTTTTAGGTGTAAAAATTGCGCTTACTTCACTGATAGAGAATTTCGCTACTCAATCCGTTCTTGATCCATCTTTCTGGATGAACGTTTGTATTAAATCCAACGTTGATTTGATTTCATCCAGTGGCAGTGAACATTGCGGGCAATGTGCATCACTTCCTGAACTTTACAGAAGGCTGTATCCTTCAGTTACTCCAACGCTGATGGTAAGCAATAAGCAGCGTAGAGCAGTCGATAAGTATTATCATACCTTAAGGGTTAGTTATTCTTTGCCTCCTTTTTATTACTTTTTGATTTTATTGAAATCATTTAATAGTTAATGCTGTGTTTCTAATAATGGGGCCGAACAAAATTCAAGTTTTAATTCAGTTTCTCAATTTTCCATTACTTCTCGTTACAAGAAATGGTTGCTTAATCTAATGGTAAGGTAGTTCAATTTGCAAACTTTGCTCTACATTTTAGTTTCCTGTGTTGTACATCTTCGGAAATGCGAGAATTTCGTGTACTGTAGTTGATTAGAGTCCTCCCTGAAGGGGTCAGTACAAAAAAATTAGAATTAGTATCATCAACTTAATCAGTTGCGGCTGCACTCCATATTTTTGTTTTTACAAAATATTTTTATGGAACTTTCTAGGTAAACTGCGAAATGCTGGCATCTTTATGCGAAACGATAGGAACGAAGAATATTATTACAGATGCATGCGAATCGGTATGGAATGTATTGATGCGAAGCCGTCATAAAGGTGTGGTCGGTGATTGTGCCATCTGTTTTAGCAGAATAATTGCTTGTTGTATGATGAACGGTTTACGTGATGTAGTATGCCAATATCTGGAAAAAGTAAAACTTTTGACTTGTTACCTTTACAAATGTTCCTTCATTTTTGGTAGTTTGGTAGCATCATTGAAAAGTGATATTTTCAACAATGATAGTTGAGAATAGTGTCTTATTTTTCGATGGTAATTAATTCAGAAATACAGAGTGATAATTTGCCATCTTTTGGTAAATCCTTTATTTAATTTCGTCTGATAATAATTCTTTAAACACCGTGAGAGAGTATTGGGTAGGATAATATTGAAGGATCCTTTAGTAGAAATTCCGAGGATATCCAAGAGAAATCTTTTGAGAAGAGAAAAGAAAGACTTGAAGCTGGCACTTTTATCAGCAAGTATATTGAGGGGAATAATTTGGTGTATATTTGCTGATCTTAGTGATTTAGTCCTGAATATTTCCGAAGCACAGCCATTTGATCTTAGCAGAGTTTTCTCAATAAATTTAATACCTAGTTTTCCTTAATTATTAGCTTAATCGGTACATTCAAAAAAAAAAAATTGCATGAGATGATACCACGAAGTTGCAGTAGGAAATTACAGAAAATTAAAATCAGAATATATAATTTTATGATATTATTCGAGGATCATGCTATTTTTCCATATTCTAGACGAGCAGGTTGTCCATGGATCTTGAATGTACAACACGTAATTTGGCATTTTGCTTGGTGTTTAAGATATTCCATGAAATATTGGGTACGAGTAACAGCGTTATTGACTTTTTGCTTGGAAATGTTCGCGCATGCACACCGTTGACAGCTGTACGATTAATGAAAATACTGAAGACTTTTTTATGTATGGCAAGTTTTGGTATGTCGAATTTTTTCGAACTCATCATTTGGATTCTTTTTTAAGTAAGCTTTGTTTTTATTATAGAATAAAAGACAGGCATGGATTAGGTTTAATTTCTTTCATTGAAATATGTTATGATTTTTTCCTGATAAACCGAAGTTTCATACTACAAGCTAGATAAGAACACATTATTTCATGACGATCTTCTGGTATTTATAGCAATTCAATCGCGGTCTAAAAGAATGGTATAGGAAGAAAAGGAGATGAAATGATAAGGTAGAGATAGGACGGGAATGTTTGGAACAGGAAAGAAGTACTATGATCTAACTCTGCAATCAGTACGCTGCAGTCTTTTACATAGACTTTTGTGTTTTCAGATGTGACTTATTGTGCTGTAAAAGTTTTTAAATTAGTATTGGATTTCTATCGAACAGGTAACAGTATGGTACGAAATGCAGCATGCCATTGCTATGGTTAAATTTTGTTTCATTTTCTTAACTATACGAATAAAGGGAAAAAGGCTGATCTCTATCAAACAGGATTAATGATAAAAATGCTAATTATGTTTACAGAGAAATAATAAACAAGATTAGCTTAAGATTGCAACTTTTGATCAAAATTTATGAGCTTTTTCAGCTGCATTGGTTCATAAACTCATAGATGACACAGAGTATGGGATTCCTCTGTTCATGTTTGTTTTACGATATGACTTATTGTGGGATGAATATTGCCAACAGCTGGAACGGACAACAATACACGATCCAGCTTTGATACTATTACTTTCTTTGCTTGAGAAATTACGCTTTGTGAGCGGATCATTTTATACCATAGCTCAATTAAAGTGATTTTTTGGGCTGTTAATTTCGAAGGAATGATATTTTATATTATAATTGTTTTTTAAATAAGTTCATTACTGAAAGGCAGGTGGCTGAGTCCATCAAACTATATCATGTTTAAAAAATTGAGGTGAAGATGCTGAGATTAAAATTATAATTGTCACTAAAAAATTATGTGGCGGGGAATGAAATAGTTTCAATTGCTAAGCTTTATTTTACATTTAGAGATAGTAGAAATTCTCCCTGTTTTCTCTGATAGGATAAGACATATCGGATAATACCATTGCCGGGTCTGAAAAAGTGAATCTGCTTCATCATATCATCTGTTTACTTACCTAGACCTGTCCAAGATTCATTAAAATCAGTGATTATAGTCAAGCTTTTCCGTCTGATTTCATCCCAAATATCATACTATGCAGAACAGGTTAAGTAAGTAATTAGTACTAAGATAATAAGTTGCAATGAGATTTTCATTGTAGGCATCTACAATCTATGGTGGTAAGCAAACTCGTTTCTTTACTCGTGGTGAGTCCTAATCTGCGAATCAATCGTTTACTAGTATCTTCTTTGTTGCATTTGATACCATGCAAAAGAAGACTAATAGCTCGATTGAAAACGATCATGGAACATAAACTGTCATTGAATACTAAGAATTCTCTGAGCTATGCTCTTTCAGAATTAGAGGCGTAAGTTTGAATTTTTTTTAATTTATATTGGTTTTTTCTAAGTCTAGCTGAGTGTCTTATCTATTGTTGGAATACATACTATGCCATCAAATATACTGTCACATTCTGTACAATCAAGTTTGGCGCTTTTAATTTTATGAAATTGATCATTAACTGATCGATACGCCGTTATTGATTGCTGTATCACTTTATTGTAAAATACCAGTCATTTTAGAATGGAATTCCTGGACTCGCCTTCCGATTCATTTCATACTTTCTCTTCACACTCCACTGTTTTGCTGCCCAGTTTGATTCAGCAAACTCACAAAATGTTCACTGATAGCCGTTTTGTTTCTTCTGAACATTTTGGAGTTTTACTTACGGAAATTGAAAAGCATGCTTATTCATCAAAAGAATTGTGGCGATTGCATGCGGCGCATGCTTTAGTGATGCTTTCACGTACTTTGTGCACTGCACTGATTCATTTTCGTTCCTATCGATACAGGTTGGTTTTTAATATATTATGAAATAAAACAGGCCATCTTGAAAAATGGTTAAGCAAGTCGCTGAGGGGTTGATAGCGGTTGGGGAACATCGGAACATTCCACTATATACGTCCGGAAGGCTTCAGACAAACTAAAAGAAGTTAGGAACAAATATTAGTTGACCATATCTAACACCGAAATAATTTTCCGTACCTTCAGCTACTGCGTTCATGTAATTAGGACTAGCAGTGATGTAGTGATTCTGACTTGGATTGTGCTTGCATTTAAAGATTGTGCCTTGTGTTTAATATTTCATCTTTCTAGGTTTATATCTTGTTGTCGTTCGCTTTTATTGGATGAAGTCGATTGTATTAAGCGCGTTACATTCAACGCTGTTAATGCATGTGGCGATGGAACTACGTTATCTTATTCGTGGAATCCAGCTCTAAAGTTCAAGGTGAAAACTTGTATATGGTTTGGATAATGTAAAATTTCATCATTAAGTTGTAGAGGGTTGATCAAATCATGTGATTGTTTTTAGGCCAACGTTTAGGAAATATATCTCACTATTTGTGATGTCACAATCGTCAGAAAATTAAAGCATTTAGCTTTTTAGTAGTAAAACATTGGGTTACTTTGACACTTGAATCGTATTATGAATACAAATTGAAGGATTCGTCAAGTTAGATTTAGTTTATTGGCAGCTGTGTTTTTTATTAAATGTTAGATCCTAAATATTATTAGTGACGTAGTGATTTCATCACAGAGCAAGCTGGAATTTTTTCATATACTGTATGTTGATGCACTTTGTAGAGAAAAATGGAAGCTGTCAGTAGTCTTAAAAGAAGTAAATATTATATTTTTCATTGGCTGCTTGTGGAAAGAGATTCTGACCATGCTGATATTAAATAACCTAAATCTGAAATAGGATTCAGATTTATGCGGCATCGTAAGATTTACTTTAATATCAAAGTATAGTTTGGAATGATGTTTGGAGGAAGCCGCCGCATTTATATTTTCAGGTTAAAAGAACAAAGGAAATTCGGAAGACGCGCACGACCTTTCAGAAAGGCAACGAACTGCAAAGATCTGTTGCTTCTGAACGGTCGAGCTAGTCGTGGCAAGATTTTCAGTGCTTTTAGTTTTTCCCTGATATGCTCGCAGGAGAATCTTCACCGTTAAATAAGTGATTCAATTGTATTTCCACTACTTAAGCTAAAAAAATATATGATTTAGTTTGCTTTGTATTCAGATGACATCACCCTGACACAAACAATATTCAGATGGCATCACCTTGTGACACGAACAAGTAATTATTAGGCATCACCCTGTGACACGAACAAGTAATAATTATTAGGGATCAATATGTGTCAGAGTATCCTGATACTGAAAAATAACTACTCCCCTGTCGAGAAAATTCTATGATAAGTTTGAAAACATTCTTGTGCTGAATTCATCCACCAAGTGCATAAAACCAATAGTGCATTAAATGATCCAGCAGGAAAGATTATTATAACAGTGAAGCCAAAGCTTATCTTCCTGAATAAATTTTCTCTCTACGATTAAATGTAGAAGTTCTGATAATTTTGTTTTGTACGATCCACTTCTTCTTTTTGTTGATTTCCTCATTGTCGAAGGACTATTTAGGAAAATGACAACAGACAGGATTGTAGAGTTGCTGATTCACGTGAACGAAATGGATTTGAAAGTCATATCAAAACTTCAATGTCTCCCGTCCATTTTTAGTTGTAATAAATTTTATTCATCGTTATAATGAATGGAATTTAATTTAATTTGTTTTAAAATTCTTTAGTCCATGCAAAATCAGTTTAATACCATTTTTTGTAAGAAAACAAAGGGAAGCATGGCACTATACTTGTCATAACGGCTTACGAAGTTTGCTGGATTAGTCATGTGCGTATGCTTGCTCTCGCTTTGTCCATAATTTCACGCTTGATTCGCGGATAATTCGGATAAAGTTCCAGCACACGATGGCATATTTCAATGCATTCGAAGAGCTTCCGACATTTCAGATAGTTGTAAGCAAGTTTGTAGCCTATATTCATTTCTACATTTTTCAGCCAAATATAGTAAGCAAGTCAAAAAGGGCACTATTTGCCTTTCACGACAACTTTGTTCATACTTTAAATATTCATTACTCATTTTTTATGGATCCCGATGGTATATCAAAAAATGATCATACCGACAGTTGGATTCCTGCATTTGCTTAGGCGCCAAGCTTCTTCATAATTTGCCGCTGCCTCATCCCATTTCTGTTCTCTTTCACATATATATCCCTTGTATTCAAATGCTTTAATAGAGCTCTGGAAAATTCACGTTCTTCACATTCTCATTGATCTCATTTTTCAACTTCGGAATTTAACTTCTTACACCTCAGCTTTCGCAATTAACATTTCGGATATTGGACATTTTCTTGAGCAAGTGCTAATCGGATAGCAATCGATTAGCAATGTTTACCACTGGTAATATGTAGATCATTTGTTTGAGTTTTGTGGATAATTTCTCACATTAAATATTTGGAAGTCTCACCGCATTGTGCTGTAAAACAGTTCGCAATATATCGGAAGCTTGGTCATTTTTGCTTTGATTAATGTAGACATCGACTAATAGCAACCAACCTGTAGGTAGATATTAAAAATTATTCGGATTTCAAAGTGAAAAGTTAATGTAATGTGATGACTGGTTAGGAGAAAAAAAGGATTAGAGAATTAGGCGACAGGGTATTTTAATTTTGCTAGTTGAATACCAAGTCCCGCAAAATTGATTCACTGGTTTCCGGTTTATGTGATTTCCAACAGTTCCTTGAATTGTTGCAAACTAATACAAAAAGCTTCCTAAGATCATATAACTCATGCTATAACATGCTATAACATATAGGATTTAAAATTAATTGGTTTGGCACTTTTCGTCAAATGATAACATTATTGATTGGTCAGGGTTTGATTCCAAATTTCGATCCAGAGAAAGCTGTTCGAACTATGGAAAGGAGATACATTTTTCTAAGTAATCAGCATCCTCCAATGTCCATGTATAGCCAAGTGCACGTTTTAATTGAGCTTTCGCTTTTGGTATTTGTTTTAAAATTAAATAAGCTCGGGCTGAACCAAGGAGTGCACCAACGCTTACCACTCCCTGAAAAACGAAAGTTAACTGTGTTCAAAGTTGTTACGAAATTCATGCCAGTGCATTTTGATATGGTAGCGCAAAGACGAACTGGATCTTCAGTTTTAGCCATGCTAAGAAAATTTGTCAATGCCTGCTGCACATTTCCACGATTACTGCTCATCAGCATGATGAAATTTTCCATTAGCCGATACTTGTAGTCCAGTCCAGGTTTGCACTGTAATTCCTGCAAAAGCCTTGGGAATAGTTTTATCCGAGCTTCTACATTCAATCGTAAAGGTGAAATTTATTAAGGAAGATAAGCTTTGGCTTCAGTTTCCTACTGGATCATTTTATGCACTACTGGTTTTATGCTCAAAAATTTCCAATTTAATCATTGCTTCCAACTGTTCACTACCGGTTAAACTAAAAGCTAACCAAGTGTATAGATGGATGGATAATCTTCCATTTAAACTATGGACATATTTCTATTCAAAGGAACCACTGCAACATCAATGCAACTCTTAACTTTAGTGAAATAATAGAAATGTATTGGAAGTATAAAACCAGATTTATGGGTTGAGGATCTTTCAAAACCTTCTTATAACTTTCTTTAATCAGTTTATAAGGAGTTGGTGGAGTTAAAATTAGCCTCTTTAAAAGGTTAAAGATAGATGAACTAGAAAGTCGTACTACTTAATCTTCACATGTTGACTTATGCTATTTGTGGTATGAGTTAATACTAATTGCCTAACATACGTTTAGGCTGATTTGAACCATGGATCTCACTGCATCATTGCATTTTAACGTTGCTTGATATAATCTCTTTTCAACTACATTGAGGTCTACTAAACAAATTACACTTACAACCTACTACAAATTCTTTCATTTTTAAAAATAAAATTTACTTTCTCTTTCAGCAAATACTAATCACGAAGCAATTATTTTTTTTCCACGTTACTTTACACAAACTTAAAATGTAAACTGATATTTACCACATAAACGTTACTGAATATCTTATTAACTTGTATAATCAGTCTTACCTTCAGAAATCTTTCCGCCGTCTTCGTACCCACTTCTCTATCATTCCCATTGTTTCTAGAATTAGTGTCATCATTTCTGTAGCAAAGAATAGAAAAATTGGTACGATTCTAACTTCATTTCGCGCTACCACACAGTATGACTTTTTCGGTAATATTTTAAAAGTCTAAACTTAAGTTTAACTCTAGGTATACCAAAATAATCCCAGTACAAATCTAACAGAACTTCCTAAAACGAACGTATTGCAGTCCCGATTGTAGTCAAGCGATCCACCTCCAATTATTTCGTTATCCGGATTTAAGCATATTTCAATCATATTATAAGTAGCTCGTTCGCCCCATTCCAGATCACGTCGTGCGCGATTGAATGCTTGAAGTGCTGCATTTGGATCTCCAGTATACCTAAGTTCACCAAAAAAAGATATTTTGTGATTGGCATTCTCAGAGATATTTAAAATTGAATTTTACTCTCCATCATTTAATTTTTAATAAAAGATCAGAAAATCGCTTATTTTTAAGGACCGTAGTGTCGTTACCATTCATGCAATCCTTTGCAGTAATTAAATCCAGCATCAAGTGTAGCACGAGGGTTCGCACTGAGAGCATTTCTCAGATATTTTTCTGCTTGTTCCACATTTCCTCTTCGCCAACTCAACTCAATACATCTTGCTAGCGCATGATATTGATCTATTTAATCAAAATTCTCCATATTGAAAAAAAGAAAAATACATTTCATCGTATGTTTCGAGCTTTATTCAAGTCTTTTATAATTCTTTTTTTTAATATTTGAATTGCTCGGGATTTATTTTAGTTTAGTCACTTATAAAATTCAAATACAACTTAGTTCTATGGAAGTCCAATTAGGAAGGGCATCAGATCATAATCTTTCAATACTCATTGCAATATACATCCTAAATGGACAAAACAGTATAAAAAACAAATTTTCAAACTACCAAACTTTGCTTACTTGGATTCCTATTGAGTAGTTGTGTAAAGTGAATAGTTGCTTTACCAGCTTCATTAGACTGGTACAACAGATCGGCCATCATCTGTAGTAAAAAAAAAAATCCAAATTCTGCAACTTTTCAGAAATAACGTACAAAAACATATGGAGTTAGGCAGAACTTAACGTACCAATGTAGCATCATCGTTACTTCGGTCAATATTCAGGATCAGTTGACATTGTGTATTGCAAGCATCCAGTTTGCCAAGGGAGAGATACAAATTTGCAAGTGCTGTCATTATCTATATTTCAAATTTTAAACGATGATGAGGAAAAAAGATGATGAATGATAAAAATGATAAATTCAAAACAAACATATGCTTTAAACTTGATCAAGGGAAAAATGGACAGAGAAATAAGACTGTAATTTGAATTTAAAGCAACCATGCCTTAAAATTGATTGATAAAGAAGTGATTTCAAATAACTGCGAAAAAGATTTTGACGCCATATTACTGATTTTAAGAATATTATTCCATTTCTTGTGCTTCATGAAACCCACATATCAGCTTATTGTGGTTCAACATTTAAGTTCAGTTGTTGCTAATTTTCGTTTGAAATTCTTGCCTTGATGTCTGTATCATTCAAAAAAACAGCTTCTTGGTAAAGATCAATTGCTTTATTAGCGTCCCTTCGATTCCAATGTAATTCTGCTAGCTGACAGCTTATCCTGAAAATATGGTATTAAGCTTTTGACAGGAACATATCTTGAAAGTATCAATGGGATCCAAGTTCTGCTCAGTACATAATTCTCACTATCTACCAAGTTCACATTTAAAAATATCCACTTTTCTATCCGATACTGACAACTGAATATCAAAAATCCAAATACTGAAAGAGAGAAAAATTGAAGATCAATAATGAAATATACTTTGCAGCAAGTTTTTTCTCATCGATAAGGTTTGCAACCTCGCCTGGTGGTTTTGCAATTATAGATAATTGAATTTCACGTGCACGTTCTAGAGCTATGGATGCTTCTTTCCAATTACCATTTTCGAAATGCAGTTTCGACAACAAGGACAAATAGGATACATGGTCACTCATTCGGGCTATGTCTAAAAGAAGCGATTACGGAACGTGATTATCCCATAGTGGAACTAATATTGTTGAACTAGTAATACCGTACTGTGTCAACGACTAGTTATGTTGTTTTTTTTTTTTGTTTTTTTCAGATTTATCGATCCCAAAAATTAATTCTAGTAAAGTAGAGTCTTTAAGTTTAATTGTGATGAAATCCTGTCATTGTTAATTATATACATAAATTTGAATCTACGTTTAATAAATAAAGCCTTCTTTTTTAGTTCCATTTTTTCATCTACTGCAAGGTATATTAAATTTACCGACAGGATTTTGATCTGCATCAAGTGCCTGACGTAATACTTTTTCGCATTTTTCATAATATTCTAGCTGAAACAACAGTTCCGCCAAGCGCATTCTCATTGATGGTTTACGTCCACTTTTCAGTGCTGCTTCATAATAATTGATTGCCTGAGGATTGAAACATTTTTTTTTTCTTGAAAGCAAGATTTATCCGTTAATGTACGTAATGAGTTATTAAACAGCAAAAAGTCTTTTTGAGTTTGCTTTACATAGACTGTTTATTAGATTTTTAAATGCAAATTTTCATTTAACATCGATATGAATGTCATGCAGAATACAGCAAAGATACAGTCTTTCGGCTTTTTTTCTGATCATCCTTAGGCAACTTCAAATTTCAAAAGTTCTTTTTACTTTTAATGTGCCATTGTAAAAGAAATGAAATTGAAATACCTTCGTATAAAAATGACACTGAACGTATGCTTGGCCTATTTTTTCAGCTAGGACATCATCCTTTGGATTACTTTTCAGCGCTGTTTCATACACTTCAATTGCTCGTGCAGGCTAAAATAGATTTCTTGGAACCTAAGTTTCTTTTTTTTCTCTTTTACCACACCTTTCAAATGAATAAAAAGCTTAAACAAATAAAATTAGAAAATTAGTAAACCTCCTGTATGCTCATGTAAGCATCGCCGAGCAATATATACGCCACTGGTGATGGACTGTTTTGTGCAAGCTCTCTGAAAATGCAATTTGATGCAAAATAATTCTTCGAATTACTGTACAATTATTTCCTAATACAAAAAATATGTGGAAGACATTCCAATGTTTGATGTCAACATTAATCAAAAACTAAATTAGTAAAAAACTTGTAGTAGCTCACTTGGTTATTAAGAATTGAAAAGCTTTCTCTAAACTAAAGTTACTCTTTAATTGATCATAGGAAGTGTCAAGTGATGACAGGATAATGTCAGTATCAATGCAACATTAAGATTTTTTCTTCATCTCAAGATATGTTTACAACATTTATTAAAAATTTTCTGAAATAGAAGTGCTGGAGAATATCTTGATTTTTATTTTCTTTAATTGAAAAAAAAGAAATAACATATACTTGAAGCAAACAGCAAATTTTCGTTTATCCTTTTTCTCGTTCAAATAAATTTCAGCCATTTTAATGCGAGCTGCTTGATAATTAGCCTGCGTAGGTGATACAGATGCAAGAACCTCTAACGCACCATTAACATCTTTGCGTTGTAATTTCAGATTTGCTTCCATTAGCACAAACTGTTGTTGTTCCGTTTTGCCAGCCCAACGGTTGTGCGCTTCTTTCATCACTGCATCAACTTCTGCCTTTAAATATAGGTAGATTCAATCTTTTGAATTAAAAAAAAAAAAAAACATATCCAGTCAAAAAAACATACAAGCTGTCCAAGTTGCTGATAGGAATCCATTAATTCCAAGTAGATGGCAATACGATCCGCATCAACAACCTCCAAATTCTCGCGTTTTTTCGACTCATCTTCAAAATGCAAATATTTTAACGCATTCGAATAACTCTTTTTCTTAAAGCATGGAATAATTCCGTTCTCACTAAATCTGAGCAATTCTTCCTCTTTAAAATTAAATCATAGAAAAGATTAAGAAAAATTGATTGAGGTTTCTTTCGGTACCGGTAAAATGTTTATAATTATAGTAAGACAATAAGTAAAAAATAAATTAGGCATTCATTAATAGTATTCACAGAATAAGACCAGGCTGTTAGGTTGGTTTAATAAAGGAGCTAAAAGGAAAGTTGAAGTCTTACTTGTAACCATAATCATAACTTCGTTATAATCTGGAAAATTGGAGAATAAGAAGAACATAAGTTTCAATTAGGATAGAACATAAATTTGCAAAAGAAAAATTAAAAACGTGCTAGCTTTAAACGAGGTCAGTTCGGTTGCTTTCTGCAATGTTTGTATCGATGCCGCGATCTGTTTCGAGTTCTTTTGGAGTTTTGCCCTGATAAGGTGGTACAGCGGATGTTCGCGAACTTTGAAATTGTTACTTAGGCCAATATCCAAACATTTACCGGCTTCTTCATAATTATTTTTGTGGAGGTGAATCTGAAGTGTTGAAAATCTGAAATTTTCGTAAAAAAGGTCCATCATAAATTTAGTCCCTGAATATTACTGTACCTGTGCCATAAGTAAGTAAGCCTCTGGAGGAGCACCATTTTTCTCGGTGCAACTTTCTAATAATCGTTCTGCTTCAGCAAAGTCCATTGAAAGATATTTTGCTTTGGCTAAGAGATACATAGCAGTCAATAATGCTGAAATTACACAGCATTAACATAAGTAATATTATGAATCTTAAATTTCGGCAATAAGCTTCTCAGAGTGAATGGACAAAATAAGTAGCCTAAAGTTTCTTACTTGTTAAGCATTAGATTTATCCCTCGTAACTGCGTAAGAGCACCTCTACTGTTTGATAAAGTTCGATATATTCATTTGAGGCTGAATCTTGTATTTTATGTGACAAACAAAATTAAATAACAAAGAGTACATACCTGGACAAAAATCCCGAACTAGTGTTAGGATTCTATCAATCTCTTTGAGAACAACATTAGTGGAGTTCGTTGGCTAAAATTTACAGTTTGTATGTATGAATGCCTAAATATCATATTTATGAATGCTTGACATTTTTATTCTAGCTTAACTTGGTCAACTATAGCCCACTAAGTTCCAAATACCCTTTCTAACATGTTAAATTGCAAAATTTTTACCGTGAGTGGTGCAAATTCGTAAAGCTGCAATGCCATATCAATCAATAAGTTCGGATCAAGTAATATCAAATATTCCACACCAAAAACAACGCTCTGAAGTATTTTTCAAAAATTTGCAAGCCTTGATTTTTCATTTATTCGAAGAGTGTAATATAAAGCAAGCTAGAATTAAAATAGCATTGATACGATTAAAGTAGCTTTGATAGTAACTGTAGATACGAAAACTCTCCAATTAATAATGAAACCTTTTCAGTTACTGAGACTGCTTACTAAAGAAAACATCGTAATTAAAAGAAGGATAAAGGTGATACAGTGAGTTGCTGATTCGAAAAAACTGCAGTTTAATAAGAAAAGGAAAAGTAAACCTGCAATGCTGATAGATGTAAATCCACTGCATTTCGTATTTTTTGCAGGAATTGTTCAAGCGGTTTATGCTGTTCTTTATCTAACACTGCCATTAGGTAGATGTAGAGCTAGAATTTTTAAAAACTTGAAATTCGGAATACAACTTAAATAATTAGTAATTTGCCAAATATACGAATAAATATGAATTAATCTTACACTAGTTTGACAGATATCCGGATGTGCTGCTTTTACGAATTCCATCTGAGTAACTGCATCATCTATGTGACCTTTTGCAATGAAGCATTGTGCTACACCTATAAGAAATCTTATTCTGATCCATAAGCATCTATTAAGTAATGAACAGTTCGAGAAAAATCCAAGAAAGTTTAACACCGACAAAAAAAATTGATATAGAGAAGCTAAGCAGGGAAGATATTAATTGTTACCAATTAATAATTGTTCATTTGGAGCGACATCATCTTTTAACGCTTCCAGCGTAACTGATTCAGCCGTCTTGAAATCTCCACCTTGTAGCAGTAATCGCACCTGTTCATACAAATATTCCTGGTTCTTCGTCATTGAAATTACTCTATCAATCAGCTTCCTGGAAGCAATTTTGGATTATCAAATACAATTTTTTAAGATCAGTGTTGAAATGGATAACATGAGAACTATGTAAAATTATCTTGAAGCTGGCAGAGGAACAAAGAAACTTTTCAAAATTAAAAATCTGGATGATTTGAAAACCCAAATGAATCTGAATGACTGGTACGTTTTTATAAGTTTGATAAACAGCAATGGGTACTTCCTGAAAACCTTATTAATTCTATTTTGAAATGTATAATACAATATATGAGAGTTAAGACCGAGAAAAATTTTCCATTAAATAAAAAGTGCTGAGAAAGCTCAATTCATTTGAAGAAATAAATAAATAAATAAAAATGGAAATGGTGAACTATACAGATAAAAGCAATAAGTGAAATTAATTAGTCGAACTGATCTATGCTAAACTAAATTATTCAAAATTCTTATCTCCAGTACTATCCGGTATTGCAACTCACATTTCCTTGTCGTAAATAAATGGTAGCGATTAATGAACAGCAGGAGGAACCTAGCAAATTTAGCCGCTGGATGATCAGACGCAGTGATTCGAATGATAAGTTGAGCAATTTTATGATGCAATTGATAATTTTTCGGCTCGTTTTTCTCAATTGCTTCAGCAAGATTTTGAAGGGCATTTTCAGTCTCCATTACACGACCTTTTATGATCAGTTCGTGAATCACCTCTAACCAACGAACATGCAAACAATCATTCTAAAATTTCAATGGTAAATTTACCACTTTCAATTTAGGCTACATCCTCGAATCTCGACAATATTTTTCCTTAACTAGAATTTATGTAAGTGTAAAGTTATTTTTAGAATAAGTGAAGTTTCAGAATATAGGAGAAACTTTTGAAAAGATATATATAGCTTTCAACGAAAAAATTGAAATTAGAAATTTGAACTAACCTAGTGATGCTGACTTTTGCATATTCAAAGATACCTGTAGAAGCAACGTCCGTTGTACTTGTTCAATGCAGTGTTCCCAGTCATGACCCATCAAATATGCTTTACAGTATTCAATGTATCCAGGAAGAAACGTTGGAACTTTCTTCATCAAAGTGTAAAGAACTTGACGCAACTCTGTCAAGTTTCTTTGTCTTTCCAACAAGCGTGCCATTCCGATATATGCGCTCGGGTATTCTGAAAGCTTAGAACTGTTTTTTAAAATATGAAATGATCAGATCTACAAATGCTGAGGCTTCTTCAATAAGAATATATTAAATTCTTTTTTGGTGTAAGAGATATAAGGAATTAAAATCGCTAACAATTGAAGACTCATTTTATCGTTGACCGTGCAATTCCTTAATAAAGATTCCTGATCGATTTTCTGCATTGTTCAAACACAAACATACGGGAAGTTTGTAGAGAAAATGTATATTTTATAAAAAAAATAAATGTCACAGAAATAAATAAACCTGCTGCAATGCCTTCTTTAAAAAGTTTTTGCGCAGTATTTATATCTTTGCCAAGATGTAATTCGATCCAAGCTTGAAGAACGATAAACTGAAAAACGTGCTGTTATTCAGCCTGAATTACGTTTGTAACTATGTGGAAGAAGCTTGACAAAGTGATGGTAAAGTAAGAAAAATTACTTGAATGTTGTTGGAATCAGGTGATTTCTCGATTATAGAACGAGCTTTATCATTGTTATCGAGTAACATGTAAGCAATTGCTGCATTATATCTAGTCTCCATATTCGCATTAATGTCTGCCTCATTGATAGTTCGATCCAGTTCAAATATTTCTTCTCGATCTATAATAATAATGGCTTCATAACTTGATTAAATTTGTTTCCTTATTCGGAGAACGAATTCCCGGTATCTTTTGGATACATCTCAATTTTAAGGCATCTCATTTTGCTCAAGTTATAAGAACATGTGCGTAAAAACCTGGATTTTTGAGTAAAGCGTGCGCTGTTCGAAGAATCACTGATGCTGCAAAGCCAACAATTGCATCCTGACGAAGTAAGTGAAGCAAGCGTATTACTTCCACATATTGACCTTAAACTAATAAATTCATTGGAGGACTTATAGAAACAATTGAAAAATAATTAAGGTTTTTCGAAGAAAAGTGTTATCATACACTTATTTTGGGATTAAATGAAAAAAGATAAAGATTTGAAAAATTAAGTGAAAATAGCGAACAACATAAATCTTCTGCTTGCAAAATAAGTAGAAGAAAAAAATAAAAACGAAAGTGATACCGTGCTTAATTAAAGCAATCGATCGAAATAGCATAAGTTGACGGGAATCGCTTGCTTTATGCAATTCCTCATCGCAGATTGTCAAAACTGTTCCGTAGTATCCTTCTTGAAGATGGTAAAGTATATTGCAATAGAGCAGCCAATCGAGTTCTGTTATTTCCTTATTAAGTGCTGCCATTCCAATTATCCAATCTATGCAGGTAAAAAAGACTTCCGAACAAGTTGTGTATTTCGTGATGGAATTGGCAGTTGCTCAGAAAAGTTCTGCTTGCTTTCGGGATAAAGCAAGAATAAAGTCCTAATAATATTTTTAAAACTTTGCACAGGCAGTTTCTTTTAGCCAAACTAATATTGATTAAAAATTGATTAAAGTTGTACTGACAATTTACTCAACCACTTTTCCTGATTGCGAATGTTTCAGTGCATTTACTACATTCCTATCAATAAAATGTGAATAAATGATACTGCCATTCACTGAAAGACCGGAAACAGGAAGATAGCAATGTTATTAACAAAGCTAACTTTTAGAGAATGGAAAGAGTTCCATAAAAGATGATCCTTGACATATACAAAAGTTAATGCCCAGGAATAGTGACAAAAGTGGTCTTTGGTTTTCACCGGTTCACAGAAATCTATAGAAGAGATATGAAGATCGTATTTGAAGTAAATATAATTCTTAATCAGGATACGGTGAAAAAATACGGTGCATACAAATGATAAGAGGAAACACCTTAATGGAACAATCCAATGTAGAAAACAAAAACTTTCTCCACTTAAACCAGTAGCGAATACATAAATCATAAAAAAACTGCACAAAATAAGTTTCGAAATTTGAAATCTAATTAAATCTTTTGTGTTAAAAGCCTCAAAAGGAAATCAGAAATAGCATGAAGCCAAAAATATTCTCTTGCAAAATTTGACATTATTCAGGATTTTTCCCGCTTGATAACTCGTTAATGGAGGATGCAATTCTAGAATGTCGTCGTATAACATCAGCGTTGTTCAGTTGCTTAGCAACAAGACATAAGTTTCAAACGACAACTCACTATGTTTTGACACATTTTTGATATATTACACTTTAATATATTCAAATATTTGAAATTAATAAGACATATTATTTAATTTTAACAATCGAATCTAATCCTGTTCGGATTGAGTCTATCTATTCAAACTGCTTTGAACAATAACAGAAATTTCCTGAAACTTCTCAAATAACTAAAAAGATCCCATTACTACGTACAAAATTCAGGTCTTCTATCACTCTTTCAAATCCTGAGAAAAACACTTTCACAAAAACAGTGACAGGTCATTGCACCACAAATCACTATAGTATGTCCATCATGAAAAAAACATTTTCAGTTGTAATGAAGAATACCTTTATGTGAAACAAATGATTCAAAAAAGTTATCACATTCGGAATCAGACCCAGGGATGAATACTTATCTTTTCTGATCATTTTGGTGAAATAAAAATCGTTCATAGTTATTGATTGAAAGAAGAATTTCAATATTGACCTGTTCCCCAAAATCAACAAAGTCGAAGATTTTTGGGTGACAAAAGATCTTCACTTCCTTCGAGATTTTCAGCACAACGTCAAAAATTGTGAACTCCTTGAATCCTAGAGATTTTCCCAAATTCACCCCGATGATAAAAATGCATTAGTCCGGATAAAAGTTGTAATTACGAAACAGGAACAATTTCAACTTGAATGAGCAAAAAAGCAATTTTAACCAGTTTAATCAGTAAGCAATGTTAAAAGTAATAAGACACATTTGTTCCAATGGGAGCAAAAAAAAGCAGAAAAACAGATATGTCATTGTATGTCTATCATTAAAAATTGGAAGAAAAAAAAATAAGCTATTTGAAACATTTACAGAGGAATGCAGATCAATGGGAATATCCCGCAATACATAGAAATACTGTACTTCACTAATGATGTTGCTTTAATGGTCCAAAAGTGAATTCCATGTAGAAGTAATGTTTGCTTGATTATTATTAACTCCTTGTTCTAGCAAAGCGTTCCATGGTGGTGTACTCCAAAGTTGATACTGCTTCTGCTCAACTGGTCGAGCAGTATCCGGGTTGGAGTCTGAAGCAAAGGATTTGTTAAAAACCTTAATTACAATTTGAAAATTCTCAAATCAAATAATTACAAAACTCCACAATTCTTCAGCGATACTAAGCTATTTCCTTCTTTGGCAAACTGTAGTCAGCACTGCAAAAAAGGGGAGAAATCCGTACTTCCGATTCTAGAAAAAAAACGGATAAATGTAAAAAAGAAACCAGACATTTACGAGCGAATTTTTTTTTTAAATGCTAGGTAAAAGGAATTAATGAAAAACGAATGCGTAACGTATTGCTTACCGAATGATGTAGCTGAGTTACCACAATAAAAATTACTTCTTACGTCCACAGAAGTCTGCGTTGAGAGGGAAGATGTCTGCAATCAGTAAAAAACATGGCGTTAGCTAATTGTATGGATCATTCTTTTGTTGACTGTTTAGTTTGTTATGATGGACATTAAAATTTCCAGATGCCCAGGATAAGTGAAGTTCAATTTCCGAAAATGTGCACCGATGCTTATCACATCCCACTCTATCATTTCTACTGCATGGACAATCAGCACACTTGATGACAGAAGACTGTGATAAGGCCTACGGAATTCAAAATTATTTGTAGAGAATGAAATTGATCAAACTTAATTCTAATTTAACTTACCCAGCAAACATCATTTTAATTTCTTTGCTTACCAAAGTGAAGTTCGGAGCTGTGACAGAAACATCTGAAGCAAAAGACAATTCTTGCATTCCTTTTTCAATATGCTGCAAATTAACATCAATATCTGCCTGCGACATCTGCTCCCGCCACGGTGAATCTCTCATGGCGAAGAGTGGAACAGTATGCGCATCATTCTTTGAAGCTAAAAGGCACCTGTATTGAAATTGCATTTGATACTGATAGCTGTATTGGCAAACTACTGCAGCTAGAGTAGCAACTGCCACTTTATCGTTTCAGTTGGTAAAATTAATTCCGCTGTATCCTACATGGCCTGTGTTTTTTATTAAGATTTTGATATAAAATTCGGTCATACATAAGGTGAACCATTAAGAATCATGTCATTGTGGTACCGGTCATTAGTGATCCAAGGAATGTGCCTGGATGACTCACTACTTGCTGTCGACGGAGACGTAGGACATAATGGTTGTGATTTTGTACAGGAAATCGATGGATGCCTTTTGTTGCATCCAGATCCGCTCTGAATTACGGTTCTGGATAATATATGTAGTCTTCTATGCACAATGCTGAACAGTTGCAAGAACTGCAATAATAAAAAGAATTGTTTTAATTACTCTATATTTTAATTACAGAGTTGCGTATACCGCCATTAAATGAAGTTAAAATCTAGTCTCAAAATCTTCTCATAGAAATGAATTAATTGCATGCAGAGAGACTTACTCCTGAGTAAATAGTGATGTGCAGAATAGAGAATTTTTATTTTTTGTGGTTTTTGTAGATTTTCCGGTGATAGAAAGTCTTCTTTAAAATTTCATCCAAAAAAAAGAAATATTCGTTTGTTCATGTGTTTGTTATGCACAAAGATTTATAAGGAAATTTTTAACTAATCAAAATGAATACTTTTTCATTTACTATGTTGTATCTTCTTGATGTGCAATTTGAAATATCTAAAATCGTTCGCAAAAAGAAAAACCAAGAATTTAAATAAGATAACATACTCGCTCGACCTCACAGACCTGCTGGAAACCAAAACCATACATTTCCGACCTTCCTTGCTTGGAGCTAATAAAATGTACAAACTTTTTTGTCGGTCGTACCAACTGAAGATTAGAAGAAAGCACGAATCCTCGTACAATCAACTGTAATTTTTCAAAACTTTTTAAAAATATTTTCGAATTACGTTGTGAACGTTTTTACTCAGTCTGATCGCCAACCAGGAAAGAGTAAGATCAGTAGCAAAAATGGGTATAAATTTAAGTAATTTACTGGTAAAAAGAGATGTATACATCAGATCACGCAAACATATAACAAAAAATGATAGATATACATAAACATACTTGGGTTTACGCGATCAACTCAGTGTAACTTTAATATGACATCGAAATTCGAAAATATTTTTGTCTGCAAGGAAGATGACAGGAAAAAGATGTTGTTAATTGTAACTGAAAAAATACACCTTAATGCCATCAATGGCGACCAATTTTGCTTCATGATCTTCCTCATCATAATACATATGTAGTAGAACAAAATCGTTGGTCAATTCACGCCAGTTATTCCCTTCAAGCTTGTAAATTTGCACAGTGACAGCAGTAATATGTCGGAATCTGAAATCTTCTAGTCCTATTTAATATTTGGTGGAAGATAACGAAAATTGAGAGCTGTTACACACAGGTTTTTCTCAAAAAGCTCCGAGAAACCACAAAGCTACTTGTTCGACCGACCCTGGCAGGGGTCGAACCTGCAATCTTCTGATTAGAAGTCAGACGCCTTATCCATTAGGCCACAGGGTCAACAGAAATACCACAAACATTGAACTTCATATATTTGAGAAAAATTTACCGATCTTTCAGTTGTATTGTGGTACTTTCACTGCACTTCAATTGTTCCATAATTCAATCCTGAAATGAAATGAGTGATAAAGAAAATATTTGCACACACTTATTCAAACAATAACTTTCGTTTGCGATAAAGGATGACCGTCCTACTAGAGTGTCACTCATGCAAGACAGTCAGCACGTACAAACCAGAACTAACTTCTGTTTTTTTCTGTTTACGTCACTTGACCCGATCCTATTTAATGGTGGATAGTAGATCAAGTCCTTATACAGGAATACCTGCATCCACGAGAAATCCTTGTTCAAGCCTATTTCTGAATAATTATCACTTCAATTTTAATCAGTCCGTCGTTTGTAAGATAACTTACGTGTGCAGTTCTTTGTTTTCTTTTAAACTGACGTCAACGTCAATGTCAACTAGGAATAATTTAATTTATCGTTAAACAGATAAACTAAATTATCCCTTGTTTTAAACCTAATAAGTGAACCGTCGGTAAGCTTTAAAATTTATGGAATAAAATGGAAGAAACTTCGATCTTCCCCATCGTTTATTTGTTGAAAAGAACAGTAAACGTAAGCGGAGCATATGAAGATGCGTTTGCACGTGAAGACGTGGAGAAAAGAATGAAAATGCACGCAAAAAGTGTAACAATCAAGAAAATAACGTATGCTATGCATACTTTCATCCATACTTTCCTACTTTTTAACTTAAGAAATGCTGCTCCCATCAATATCCTAACCAACTGTCCTTTTCTAATTTAATTTCATACCGTTCTGTCTTTCTTCTTACCTCGACTTAGTCACATATGTCTCCAGGTGGGAGAAGGAGGAGAAGTTTAGTCATAATTAAATGAAATTTCTTAACGATGGACTAATTAGTACGAAAGTTCGAGGACAATACACTGAAAGATCACAATGGAACGAAAATAAGTGTGCCCATTCGAATCAAACAGGACGCTATCAAACCATTTCTTCACACACCCACGCAATTCACACGTTTCTAGAAGTTTCCGGCAGCCACTCCCGGCGCGTTAATGTTGAGGCGTTGGAACATTCGAGAAATCAGTGGGGAATATGCAAATTTCAAGTGGAAAAGATGATTTGAGGGAGTGTTATGCGGAAGTGTCACGTGTAACTTCGGGAATGTCTCAAAGAGCAAGTTTTTTCAGGGAAGACCGGAAATTAAAAGCTTAATTTTCTATTCAATTGACCAATGGGAAAGTTGTATAGGTAGAGAGAGAGAGAGGGAGTGGGCATAAATGTGAGAACTTGAAAATTATATGTTAAGACCATTTTTCTTACATTTCATTTAATTCTTTAAGCGCTCTACTGATTGGTAGTAAAAAGAATAATTCGGTGAAATTCCACTAATTGCGCTTGCTTAGTGCGCAAACAAGCAAGCATTCTCTATTTGAAGCGGCATTGGCATCTATTACAATCATACAATAATGACCAATGGCGACTAGAGAGATATATATCATTGGTGTGAAGAAAAAAGATGAAAGCTGATAAATAACTAAATTTGTCGTATTCTTTGTCCAATTATAATCCCTAATGAGGTGTATGGTTAAGTTAGTAATCAAATTGGTTGTCCAGTCACTGGTCACTTCCTTCACGATTATATCAAATGGAATGCATCCATTCCTCTGATATCATTTTGATATCAAATTATTACTGATAATAATATTCCTCGTCCATATCATACTTCCTCGAAAAGTAAGAATAAACAAGTTGTGTTGTGGAGTAGTTTAAATTTAATTTAAAAAAATACTTAGCCATATGCGAATATTCTTCTTACATTGTTTCTTTGTTTTTTCCCCAGTATTGATGAAATTGCAATCAAATTTCATCCTTTTTCTTTTCTTCAATTTATTCTCTCTCCCTCTCTCTCATGTTTACTGTTTTTTTTCTTCTCATTTTGCTCTAAGAATTTACATTCATTTTCATGCATCAAAAGTAATTGCAGCAGTTATGGTATGATGATCAGTTACTTTGCTTAGCTTTTCGTTTAATTACTTGGCTTTACTTAACTTTACTTGGCTTTTAATTTATTACTTGACTCTATTTAGCTTTATTTAGCTCTTCATTTTATTACTTAGCTTGCCATATTATTATTTGGTTTTACTTCACTTAGCTTCTCATATAGCTTTGGAAAAACTATGTGATTTGTTCCATTGAAATTTGATTCCAAATGGATCTCTTAAAATATCCTCTGATGACAGATGAATCAATGACAGAAAGGATTTTTTGTCAAATAGTTCAACTTGTAAATGACTTGTAAAACTCTCCAATTTAGCTCGCATACTTACAGACATACTTCTTAAGTACGTCTCTCTATTTCCTAATATAAAGTTATGCGAGTCCTTTAATTTAATTAGATTGTTGCATACATTTATTGACAATTTGAATAGATTTAAATATCAGATTTTTCAGTTTGTTGAACAGCTAAGGCTAATGGTGTCTTATGTATGTGTGTGTGTGTGTGTGTGTGTGTGTGTGTGTGTGCGTGTGTGTGTGTGTGTGTGCATGTGTGTGT